CTTTTTATTGAATGGATGTGTTTATATATCCATATGTACATATGGAGAATCACGTGATGAATTATGTAAAGATTCGTAAGTAAGAACGTAACGTAAGTTAAGATTCCAACAATTGATGGCGATTTCAGTAATCTGGAATGCAAGAGATTTTGTTATACCTCCTGCTCTTCATGTTTGCGGATATGACCCTGTACCTGATTTTGTGCATGCATAGCTAGCACGACCTTACGAGAACTGAATAAACCTTGTGAAGACCAATCAAAGCTTGTCACCTTTGCTACGATAAAGTGTCAGCTATCTAAAACTCCAAGAAATTCTAAACGTACGCTTGCGAAGGCTTCCAGTATTTCCAGTTCATATCAGCGGCCCAAACTGGGCCGATAAACGAAGAGCATTTGTCTTTCCATGCAGGAAAACCTTTCGAAACACAGTCGAGTAACTGGGGAACAAGAATCCATGGAAATTTTTCTTGTGTACCGTATCTTACATGGCCGTAGTCTTGTACCATGTAAAGTGGAACCTCCGTATAAGGTACATGCCATATAAGGTTCACCTCCATATGTGGTATGGAATTTTTTTAAATCAGAAAATCCCCTGATTTTCCTAAGTAAAAACTCTCTATAAAATGTACACCTCCCTTTGGGATGCAAAGTGCATCCCAGACTGGCCGCGGAGTGGCTACGCAGTTTTATATAAGGTACAGTGGAACCTCCATTTGAGTTCCCGCCATCCAGATTGGATTCTTCAAGATGTCGAACGTGATGCTTGACAAGAAGAAGCGCAAGCTGGTCAATCTGAGCACCAAAGTTGCCATAATCAAATACCTTGATGATGGACACAGCGTCAGGAAAACAGCTAATAAGTTTTCATAATCCAAAGGAACCGTTCAAGCTGCAAAGCAAAAACGAGAATCTCTGTTACAAGAAGCACAAAGCAATCGCGCGCTATCAAAGGCCATAATAGTTCAGCAGAGTGACATTAATGTCATTTTATGGAGATGGTTTGCAACAGCGAGAGCGCGTGGGTATTCGATAAGTGGCCCGATTCTACAGGAGAAGGCAAAACAAATCGCAAATTGTTTGGGAGTTGTCAACGAATTCACGGTTTCTGAAGGCTGGCTGCAGAAGTGGAAGCAAAGGAACAATGTTCGGTCGTACAAGGTTTGTGGAGAATCTGGAAAAGTAGATCTAGAGGTTGATGTTCAATGGAAAACGCCATAAACGTAGTTAATTTCTGGATACGATCTCAAGAACGTCTTCAATATGGATGAGACCGGTTTCTTTTTCCGAGCCTAGCCAGATTCGACATTGAACCACGTCGCTCAATCATGTAAAGGCGGAAAGCAAGGCAAAGACAGGGTAACGGTGGCTCTAACTTGCTCTGCTTTGGGAGAGAAGCTGCCTCCATTGATTATTGCAAAGTCCAAGAATCCTCGACCATTCAGGGGCGTTGATATGAGCAAATTCAAGACCAAGTCTTCAAATAGTGCAAAGGCGTGGATGACAAATCCATTGTTCAATAACTATTTGAAAGATATGGATGAATTCCTTAAACGTCAAGGCCATAAGATATTGCTCTTTTTGGATAACGCCCCTGTTCATATTGTTGACGAAGCCACAAAACTCACAAATGTCGAGCTTCGTTTCTTTCCTCCTAATCTGACATCAGTGCTACAGCCACTTGATGCATGCATCATTCGCAGCTTGAAAACTCTTTCACTGAAGTTTGAGGTGCTTACCTTGCTCGATTTGATGGAAAACTCTTCTGTTCATGCATCAGATCTTGCAAAGAAACTAACAGTTTTGGATGCGATCAAATTCATAGAAAAATCTTGGGACCTTGTCAAACCTGAAACTATTCAAAAATGTTTTGTCACATGCGGTTTCACATCAGCCGTAGTTGTACAGCAACAAGACATGACAGAGGTTTTGCAACAAGAACAAGAGCTGGTTTCTTTGGCGCAGAGGATTGGGCTTGACAGTTCTAGGATTGTTGTTGAGGAGAATTTGCCAGAAAGCGAAATTCAAGAACAGGAGAGCCTCATTGGACAATTGGTTGAAGAATTTATTGACGCTGTCAGTGCCGACGAAGTGAAGGAAATCGCCGTTGTGATGGCAGACAGTGAGCCGGAACAGCCGAAAGCGATTTCATGTGCACAGGCAAAAGAAATGGTTACTGATCTCCTTTGCAAAAACCAACTCACTCTTCAAAGAAGAGATGGACTTGTTGGGCATAAAATATACAATCCTGTCTATCAACTCTTAAGCAATCTTCAATTGATGAGTATTTTAAATAAACCCAAGTGATTTCATCACTATTTTAAATTAGAGGGTTAGAGGTATTCCATAGAAGGTACACCCACGTCATAAGGTACAAACGCGAAACATTTTGGAGCAAATAGGGTGTACCTTATACGGAGGTTCCACTGTATATTAAATCTGCGAAGAATCTCGTTCACACAAACAAACTATGAGTACTTCGTCGAAGCTCTGTGCAGATTGTACTGAAGACGTAAAGGTGAAATGCATGTCTTTAAAGTTCACACACACACAGGCCGCAGTTGGATCCCTTGTGAAAGGAGACCCACCAGATGCTACCATGAGCAGACTCCTGGGCAACGTGACGTCTAAGTACATTTCCAGTCTTGAAGCCATGTAAAATCAGATCAAAATGTCGCAATGGGTATCTTATCCATTATAGAGTCACTATCGGTGTTGAAAAAGCGTGAAATGTTCGATTTTGTAGATGAAGTTGTTTCCCCAGTTTAGATTGTGTTATGATAGTTTCTATCCCATTCCGAACCAGCAAGTTTATACATTCCCACTTTCCAGAGAGAGACTCGAACATGCCCTCCATCTTTCCCATGTTGAATACTATAGGTGAACAGGAATAGACCCCGGTCGAGTGTAGTTGAGTTTGAATGCAGGATCTCCAAATGGTGAATCCAAGTTTGAGATAAGGAAATAAAGTGAAGACATGCAGTAGGTTTTTCCGCCATGATGTACATTAAAAAAGAGAATTTGGCCAAGTGGATGGCGAATAAAATAAGAAGATCCCACAGATCCATACAAGCGATGTTTCAAAAAGAGAATCGAACATGCGAAGAGTTTTTCATAACACAACCGTGAACTGTTTAGGCTTTCGTAGGAGGGCTTAACGGGTAATAGGAAACACCATTTCACAAATTTTATTATATGTTTCCTATTGCCCGATAAAAAATCGTTTTAAGGAAAAAGTTTGTTCAATTTTAATCACTTTGTTTTGAATATTAGTGATCCTAATCAAAATAACCTAAATAATCGATGCTATATTATAAACATATCTTAAAAGGTTATGCTCAACATGAATCCAAATATAAATAACATACTCCGATTTCAAAATTACGACTTTAGCATGATTGAAATAGAATATCAAATATCACAATTTTGCTTAGCAGATGAAAAGATATTGAAGATACCTCACTATCGAAGTCTTGGACGGTTTGATATGTAAAGATAACTTCCCACGATTCATTTTATATTGCATTACATGTGTGAAAGGATATTATTTTTTAATACGATTAAATTTCCAAAAGAATCCATAGGTGTAGTAAAACTTCAGATATGTGGTAGATCATTTTTTCCCATTTTATATAAAAACTGTAAAATTTAAGTTGATGGACACAATCGGATTATTCGAATTGAATATTAAATTAGAAATTTTTACATTCACTTGTGTCGAACAAGTTCAACTAAAGATGTGATAGTAACAAATAATAGTTTAAAATAGGGAGTGGCTAGTTATAGTTCACCCTAGCCAATATGCACTATTTCTCCTCTTTTCCTGTGCCCTCAAGACTAAATCACACAACTTTAATAACCATAATGATAGGTCTATTCAATCACAGAGATCTGTTATTCATAGTATAGTAGAGTGAATGATAACTAGCCACTGCCTTGAAATACCATGTATATCCTTCTTGTTTTTCCATGTGCCCTCATTTATTACAATCTTTGCATGTGCATTTTCGTCGATTGGTGTGACTTACGGGATGATCCCCACAGGATAGTGACATATCTACATTCATGAAATTCGCTCGCAAAAGGTTTAATTCGTTTCGTTTGAAGCGTCAAACCATCACTTTCGCTTTACATCTTCACAAAATATACACAGTGAACATACACTTGCAACAGGACCCATTGCTGGTACGAGAACCTACGTCATTATTAGTATCTTGAGTTATCCCTCAGGCTAGAGAAGGTTAATTATCTCTCACCGTACTACACGTGCTTATCTGAACACCCTATAGTTGCTACTGCATCCCTACTACCCTGCATCGATCAATGGAAGTGAATGATAACTAGCCCCTCCTTAAATTTGCGTACAAAGAGGTACACTGAGATGCTTTGTATACTTCATGGTATGGTGAACAACATTACTGTAAGTCCTGTATATGTTTAAGACAGGCGTATACATCCACGAAGTTTGAGTATCCACGACTCTAACTGAAATTTTGGATATTAACTAAAACCTGATTACGAAGATAACACAACGCCCTTCTGTTTGGTCTGATTTAGACAGTATTTTGTCCCACGTATATACGTATATACACACACACAGGGTCATTAAAGGCTCGCACTCGCCCGACAACTCTACGAAGTGAGACTACATGTTTTAGACAAGATGGGGCAAGCCATGCCATATCGACGGCACATCCAAGTGAGCCTCATTTGGGCAACAGGTCATGTCATTTACTTCTGACAACATTCGCATTATACCCCTCCAGAAATGATGAGTAGTAAACATTCCTCTGCTTCTGTCTGTGCCGACATTGCTAACTTCCATTGACTTCATGTTCAGTTCATGTAAAATATTAAGAGGAAAGCTACGCATGGATTGTGAAACATACTGAACATGAAAATGTCGCAAAGACATATTAATAAGACAACTTATGCCAAAAACATCCACCTCTAACATGACACATGCAGTTGAGTAAGCTTTAGTTTATCTCATCTTGGATGGCGTACACTTAATACTCACAAACGTGCATACACTCTAAGACAGACAGAGGTTCAAAATGGATTAGCACCTCATTAGTAAAGATGGGAAAGGTATCCAACCAGGATCAGGCAGGCCATGATTTATCAAAGGCACAAAAGCGGTTAATCCTTAGTGCACTGCGCACGAAGTCACCAACTTTACCTGCCAGTATTCCCACTTTACCTGAAGAGACAATATTTACAGCTCATTAAGCCACTCACTACTGATAAGAGCACTGAAAACATGGAACCCCATTGCAACAGAAGCTTCCTAGGCGAATCACAAGGAACACTTCGTCCTAAAATATCCAGCTAGTATACGATAATGCACGTACTCAATCGCTGGCATCTGCTCTTTAGTAGAAAGTGAGGAACAAATTTGGTCTTTCCGTGCTCGTGCTTGCTCACTTGTGATACTTATTTCGACTTCGTTACTGATTTCAGTAACTTCTGAATGGTGAAGCGCACTCCCGGAACAGAACCGCTGAACATCTCCATGAACGCTATTGAAGGTCAATTTCATTACGCAAGATCAGAGGCAGTCCAACTCTTGTCGGACGAGTGACCACGCCACCTGAGTAAAAATATTGGAGCAAACCACCCTCGGGTAGAAAACTCTCCAATTGAGAGAACTCTAGCTCCGGTCTCAAAATTTGTACACTTCCGGAATCTTCACGGGATAACTGTCGATACAATGTGTCCATGGCCCTCTTGCCGGTGGCTTCAGAGTACGAACAGCCTGCCATACTGCGCTGTTGCACTTGAACCCGCTTCCAAAAGCAATCTGCCAAACACGGTCGCCTTTCTTCATCCTTCCTTTGGATTCGATGTAGTTCAGTTCGTACCAGATGGATGAGGACGAAGTATTACCAAATCTGTGCAAGGTCATGCGAGAGGGCTCCACATGGTCCTTCGTGAGTTGGAGATTCTTCTCCAGTTCATCGATGACAGCTCTGCCACCGGCATGGATGCAGAAGTGATCGAACGCAAGCTTGAAGTCAGGGATGTAAGGTTTGACCTTCATGTTAAAAACCTTCCTGGCCACGAGAATGCCAAAAAACAACAGTTGTTCTGAGAGAGGCAGCACCAAAGGCCCAAGAGTGGTGATGTTTGTTTTCAAAGCATCACCAGCAATAGCCATCAGATCCTTCGACAGAGAAACCCCCATGAAATTTTTCTCGTCCTCCTCTTGATATACACAGCGGAAACACTTGTCATCGGCACCCTTGTGAGTCCTCACAGTGTGCACAAGTTGATACTTGGCCCGCCTCTTCTCGCTCCTCTTGTTGCTCAGAAGAATTGCAGCTCCACCAACTCGAAAGAGGCAGTTGGGGATGAGCATAGATCTACGGTTGCCATAGTACCAATTTTGAGTGATGTTCTCAGTGCTCACGACAATGGCGTACGTACCGCCGTGCACTTGCAACATGTCCTTGGCAAGATCGATAGATATCACACCAGCACTGCATCCCATCCCGCCAAGGTTGTAGGTCCTGATGTTACCCCGCATGTGATACTTGTTCACTATCATCGCGGACAGCGATGGTGTGGGATTGAAGAGACTGCAGTTGACGACTAAGATGCCAATGTCCTTGGGCTTCACCTTCGTTTTCTCAAAGAGCTCATCCAAGGCACCGAACATCACCTCCTCCGCCTCATTTCGGGCCTCCGCCATGTTCGCATTAGCGGGCAATCTGTGCAAAGAAACAGGCAAGTGTGTCTCCTCACCTAAACCCGACCGCTCCAGGATCTTCCTTTGAAATTCCAAAGCTCTCTCATCGAAGAAGCCCGACTTCTCCGAATGGTCCATGAAGAGCGAAAATTTGACTCTCGTATTTTCTGCAGGTAAGTGGCAAGCGTAGTCCACGAGATACACTGGGCGAGGTCTGGACATGACGTACACAGTGACTCCAAACACCAACAACGCCGAGCAGATCAAAACACTGACGAGGTTAAACTGCAGATTGACCCAAAGCTGCCACATCTCCTCCGGACCCATGCGCCCGACCTCCAGAGTTACAGCCAGCAGGAGGGGGATGAAGAGCAGTATCACGAGATGGGTGATGAGATAATGATAGCCAAGTTTCACATACTTCAGATTGACAGACTGCAGAAAATCAGGCAAACGGCGCCTCGAATTGATCTGCACCGCGACTCTCTCCCCGTGCAGCATGCTGTGCTGCTCACTAGGTGAAGGATGCATTGGTGATCCTTCACCTCCGTTAGCCATCCTGTCCAACTTAATGAAAGTTTCTCAAAGGAACTGGATCCTGGAAGGGAACAAAGGACTTGCTCTGCACAGAAACGAATCCGAGCTCTCGGTCACGATGTGAAAGGGAAGCACTAGCGGAACTACACCAGAGAAACGGCCGAGAGAGGTGAGAATTCATTCACTTGGAATCGAATCGTGGGGACCGTGGCAGACACATGGGACAGGCCGTTGTGGAAAGAGGGTGCGGCTAGAAGTCGAACAAGCTTTGACGAATTGACGGGGCAAAAGACGGTTCAGATCGTTCTGAAACAAGAGTGGCGGGGGTGTCTCGATCAGTGAGATCGTTCGACCCCGGAAAGATCTGCGCTGCTGGGCGAAGGCAGGATGCCGACAACTTATAGGGGACGCAGGCGCGGAGTTATGCTTTTTCTTCCCCAAACAAAAGGTGCACTCATTGCTGCGCGGAAATTACGTGTTCACAGATGCTAGGCGGAGTAAACTAAGAATGGGGTTAACCGGCAAAAACCACAACAATCTCAAGAACTAATAAATTGGATCGATGAAGCATGCTAAGAGGACGTTCTCTCATGCACATTTGTACCGCAAACGAGACACATTCCTCGAAAGCACGCCGAGCGCACTCCTGCAGCCCTCGAACGAGGTCTGTTTCTCTGACAAGTGACGGAAGGCAGAGGTGTAGAAGTCGAGCGAGGGACACCACGAGTGAAAACCTAGGGGAATAAGTGGGAGTCGGACCAGACACAGCCAGCAGGCAGGAAGGCAGGAAGGCGGGCGGGCGGGCAGGCAGACTAGCGCGCGCACATCCCAGGAATGCTGCTGGATGAAGTGATGCGCTAATGTGCTGCAATTGTGCCCAAAGGGCGTAAGAAAAGGCAGGGGAAGACAGAGGTAAGTCGAATAATGAGCGAAAACGTGTTTCGGAGGCGTTGATGAGCACACTCAGTGAAGCACATAGAGGGCAGGGGCATACGGTAGCTCGGCAGCCAGCCTCATCATTACAGTCCACTCCTCATCAAAGAACAAACAGCAAAAGGCTCCTTCTTCTACCTTCTCTCGGCGTGCACACTCTAAACTTTCAACATCAATGTTTATTCTTCTTAATTACCGGAGAGTTTGTCGGCGAGGGTCAACGGAAGTTACACATTCTCCTCTCGTCGCTAAGCAGCAGCCCGCCCATCTGCCTCCACGCCTTCCCGTCCTGCCAAACTCTTCCACCAAACCTCACCACACAATCACATGCATGCATATGCTGCAAGCAAGCAAGCCTCTCCGGAAGGGCGGGTCTGCCTCGCCTCCCTCCCTCCTCATCTCCGCGACCTATGACATCGCCCCCCTTTGTCGCATCGAGCAATGCGCATTTCCAACAACTCGACATCGGCGCGATTCGCTAATCCCAGACCTCGCCTGACCTCCCCTCCCCTCCTCCTGCGAGCGCCATCCAGCCATCCAGCCGGCCACCCCGCCAGCCACCCAATTCCCTTCCTGCCTCCTCCTCCTCCTCCACCTCCTCCTCCTCCTCCTCGGCCCAATTCACTGCCGCTGCACATGTTCCCTTCCCCCGATCAATCGTACAGTGCCAACGAGCCTCATCCGCCAGCCACCTGCGTTTTCCCCATTTCCTCTCCTCTCCCCCTCCCCCCGACACTCTTGTCCTCGCCCTGCTGCTTCCCCAAATCGGGCCCCGTAGATCTCCCTCCCGCTGCCACCCCTTTTACTTTCACGATGGTGAATTTTCAAATTCCTTCGCCTCGCGGCCCAACCCTAACTCCGGTTTTAAACTGCAAAGTCCAGCTGCCTGCCTGCCTGCCTGCCTGCCTGCCCGCGCTGTCACCAGGTCTTCGCCTCGTCTTCCACTCCAGTCACTGCAGTCGCGTCCGCGGTCGGTCGGTCCGCCGAGTACTGTACCGCGTCCGGTAGGTACCGCGGGCGATCTCCCGTCCTGTACTTCAGTGTGAGCGAGGTGGCCGGCCACCTTTCGAGCTCGTCCGGCTTCCGGATAGGATATAAATACCTCTCTCTGCTCGATCTGATAATTTTCTCATTATTTGCGCCTGGCACCTCCACCTCCACCTCCTCCGTCCGGCTCCGGGCGAACCCTTCGGTTTAGTTCTCTTCAGTTTGCCTTCTTTGTCGAGGTCAGAAAAGAATTCATCGAACCTTTTTTCAGTCCCGATCTTACGAAGAAGTTCGTTCCTGGAGCGAGCGGGTGATAAGGATGGTCTCTCTAACGATAATAATTGGAGCACTGCCATCTAGACCACTCCAATGGATATCACCGTATCAACACTCCTTTGCATCTTCTCGAGTTCTTTGATGATGTCTTCAAGCGATCCGTTGACTTTTGATGCCGAGTGGATTTTATCATTCGATACTATTGCCAAATTTTTTTGCGTCTTCGACGATGGACGGGATCTCAGCCATGTATTCTCCGAAGATCCACCCAACCACACAAATATGACTGTGTTCAATTTCCGCATTGTCCATCCCCTCGGACCTTAGAACCTCTCCACGCTCTATTCTCGTCAATCGTGCCTATAAATGTATGTATCCATAATGCATGCGTATTCCTTTACTCATTGCCGCCTCCGTACCTTAACCCTGGCTGCCCTTAGGACGGCCTTCATCCACCAGATGACCTAAGTGCCCATGGTGACCTGCTAGTGCAGGTGACCAGGCGTGTGAGTAGAGCGTAATTTCCTGACTAGAAATTCGTCTCCGGTCAATTTTGACCAGAGTCAAACGTCTAATATCCTGTGCGTGGCAGTCTCCCGCCAGTTACCAGAGCCCATGGGACGTAGACATCAGCTGTAGTATTGTACTGTATCTTAACAGGTCTAAATTAAGCTCGGGTTCGCGAAGTGAACTCAGGTTAGCGGTATTATACGGGTTTAAAAGCCGCACGTACTAATCGCGATACTTCCATATCTAGATGTCGCTAATTTTTACATTTTGTTAAATAGAAACAATGGCGGCGTTCGAACGGTGAAACTAGTTAACATCACGTCGGATGGGTAAACATTCATTTTGCCATTCGAGCCCACACCGGGCCGAAACAGATGTTTGCTCTGGTAACTTCTGTCTTTACCCGTTGAGATTCTCTTGTCTTACAGCATGTATCAGTCGGTACACGTAAGCTGGTTCTGTTTCCGTTTGCATCCATGCCGAACGTACGTCCGTTGTTGGTTTCCAGCCATTGGACGTGTACATTCGGACGCAACGATGAGTTCGCACTTTGCCGGTACTTCTGCCAGGCATGCCTTCAGACGGAAAGCCGCTGGCCTGTGCAACATAGTAATGAGGATGGCGCCATGGGGGACCCGAAGGTAGTCCTTGTAACGAGCCCGTGTGACAGAAAGGATGAACGTGTTCTTTCACCGCTAAACATACAGCAGTGAAAACGACTAACTGCCGGCGACTATCTCTCCTTTCCTTCCTGTGATTACCATGCGACCCGTGAATCTGGCCAGAGTCCCGACCCTCAAGCCGGGCCATATTTTTGGGCTGCTTTATTTTTCGGACTGCTACGCGTCAAGCGCAGGGAGAGACATGTGGCGAGGTCCATCTTTTTCGTCTTCCTCGGGTAAGCACGTCATGAGCTTTACGACTTAAGATTTCGGAACATAGTGTATAAGAGATTTAACACGAGTTTTTTCCTTCTTCTATTTAACGGTCAGGGCAAACAGCCTGTATGAAATTCCACGAGTTACAGATTGGAAGTCAACATATTCGATAGATTGGTATCAGATCGCCCTTCCTGGCATGTTAGCATATGGATGTTGCTATGGAGATACCTTGGGAAATCTAACTCCATTGAAGGACTAAATAGACCACGGTGGTAAAAGTCTGTCGAAACTTGGCATATTCACACGACGTCTAAAAAGAAACTTCTAACCCATTAGATCCAGCCACGTGTTCGAATCCTGAAGGGAGTAAAATGTTCTATCCAACGAGCATTAATAATATCATCTCAACCCTGTACCCACGTGTTAGATAAGTACAATGCTGTGGCCGAAAGGTTACAATAAATAGCTCAAAACCGCACATAAATCTTCAAGGAATAATGAAGATAAAGCTATGAATTTTCAGTTTCTTGATGTCACATGGTTGTTCTCTTTCTTTTCCTTTTTTACCCTTTTTTTTTTTTGCACATGTCTGCTCTCGCCTTCGCCCGAATACTTCTTATTTGCGTGTCAATGTTCGCCGAATAATACTGATTGGCCATGCAATGAGGACCATGACTCGTTCTGAATGTAAACAAGCATTGAAATTTCGGAAGTTTGTATAATATTACCAATTGAGGATAGGACATATACATCTAAAAAAAATTTCGAAGCATTGAAATTTATAATGAGCTTCAGGAAAGACCAAATGTCTTCAGTAGAAAGACATTGATGTTACAAATGAGTAGCGTATGTGCTTTAACACCAACATCCACGGCATGTGCTTGATGATAGGACAGATATGTTGTACTGAGTTTGTCTAGACAGCTTATATTCCACCTGCACACGAATGAAAATGTATTAACAAAGACAAAATAAAATGTTTATGATACACTAGATATGAACTAATAAGTATGTAAGATATGCATTCAAAGTTTCAATGCAACGAAACCTTTGAAAATAAGTTCTAAAGTTTAAGGTGAAGTCTGAGTTTGCATTCCAAAAAAATTCAGTTTTTATCATCATACATCCAGGAGTTTAGTGTTTATGTTTATTCACTTAGACTTTGCGACTTCGTGAATCTTGATCATGCAATTGTTGATTTATGAGATTTATAATTTTTTTGAATTTACTTGTTCTTACGTTAGAAATGTTGTTCACAATAATTTCTAATGATGGATAAAATATTTGCCTTAAATTTTGTCAATCTATGCAAAATTATTCTTATTTTAGATTGATAAATCAGAAAGGCAATATAATATATATGTTTTAATGATATTGAGTGTGCTGCAAAATCATCTTCTTTTTTCATGAATTCTTATTTCATCATCTCATCGTAGTGAATATGAGTAAGTGCTATATAATTGATAAGTTCGAGTATTTGAATTTTTGAATTGATTTTATAATTATTTTATTTTGTTCAATTTATAAATTTTTATGGCTTCCAATTTATTTTATCAATACAATATATTTCAGTGAAGTTGTTCAACAATATTTTATATTTTCGAAAATATGTTTTCCAAAAATCCCAACTCCGTTTTTGCCCATGTAAGTTCTCCTTGTGTGGCATAACCAGAGATGTTCGAAAGCCCCAATGAATTTGTACTTATAAGATATATCACTTTTGCTGAAAAAATTATACACCACCAATTTTATTTTCTAACCATACTTATAAACAATCTACACGTTACTTTATACTAGCATAATGATGTTATCAATTTCTTTATTATCAAAAGATAAAATTAAATATCCTCAATTTGCCTGAATCCAAATTTAAAATAATTTATTTTAATAAGATTTTGTTTATAAATAATTTTCCTTTATTATAATGATTACTTGAAAAAAATATTTTATTTTCTTTGATATAGTTGATAAATCTAAAAAAAGACCAATTATTTAACTTACACATACGGGTTGATGAAAATACCTGGGGATATTTGATCAGTAATGTATACGTAATCTGTAATAGACGAGGAGGTGAACCTTAGTTTTTACATTTCGACGTTGTTCTCTTACATTTTCAGATTATCTTGAACATTGTGACAATATGTTTCTTTTATAAGTAGGAAATTTAAACTGTCTCTCCATGAAACCGAAGTAATCAGCGTGAAAATATAAAGGCATAGAATAAGGCTGTTTTATCATTCATGTCTAGAGAACTGAAGTTCCATGATTAGAAGTCCTGTGTCCCGATGTTGAATTCCACTAACCCCGGTTGCCGTATACGGCTACAAAGGCTGCGGACTTGAGAGCGATTCCTTTGAGATGTGCGCCTGCTTTGTCCAGCCAGAAGACACCAGAGACTGCCGCAGCTTGCTGACCGTCGATCATAAACGGTCTAAAAGGCTCGTAGAAGTACATGATTAATCCCGAACGCTGAACAAAAAAGAGGGGAAACCGAGTAATACTGCAAAAAGGATGGAAAATCCATCTGTAACACCATAACACCTTATGACGTAGACAAACACCGCAAGTACGAGTATTCATGATAGTCGTATATGCACACGTATCACATCCGGTGTGGAAGAAATTGCGATAACGTTTCGGTACGTCGGTCACTCATGACTAGTCTGCTCTGTGTTCCAGTCAGTCAGTGAGTCAGTCAGTCAACTACGACGCGTCTACGTGGTTCAGAAGACCAGACAGACTGCACGAGATGTAGTCGCTTCGATCATTGTAGTACGTCATTGGCGGATTTGGTTACTCAATCTACAACTCTGAGTCCTGCGCTGAAGACTTCCGTCATCACTCCACACTCGCATCTTTATTTCTTCATCCTGTTCTCTAAGCCGAGGAGCCGTGA